TTTTCATTCACGATTTTCATTCGTATATAGAGAGAAAATGGATTTTGTCAAGTTTTCGAGGTAATTTATGTATAAACTACAACATAAAATAATTTCGTTTTTAGGGCAAACAATTCAAACAAAGAATGATTGCAAGCTTAAGATGTATTAAAAACCAACACATATGCAAAGAGAAAGAGAGAGAGAGAGGTAGAGAGGGAGATAGGGAGGACGGAGAAAGAGAGAAAGAGATTGACATAATTTACAATGGCAACCGATAAAGAAACCACATCTGTGTATGGATTTGAGCAAATGTGAAAAGTGCATGTTATTGCCAGGCAAACATGTATTTATCGTGCGTGAAATCAAATTTAATTGCCACCATGGGTGCACACAAATTCTGCAATGCATCGACAATGACGAAAAAGACTAAAATAATTAAAAACAACAACAACAACACACCACAATTGCAAGCACAAATCACCCACCACCCCCCTTGTTCTCCTTTTTGTTCCACATCCAAAACACGTACATTCGCACGCATTGTGATCAAACATAAAATTCAATACAATTTCTACATAGTAATAAATAAACTCATTGACGAAAAACATATACATTTATTTAAAATATACAAAAAATCTCCGGTCGCAGGCCTGTATGTGTTTCTATATGCACGAAAATTTCACATTTCCATATTTTCAACCAAAGCCATAAAAACGTAAACAAATGTCGCACGAGCTCCAGATTAAACTGTATTTATGCAGTGATCGAAATCAAAGTGCAAGGCACTGAGAAGAAGCAGCAGCAACAAAATCTGAACGAAAATGTGAAAAGCAACAAACATAGAGAAAAATGTGCAATAGAGAGAGAGAGAGCGAAAAAAAATGTATGGCTTGATTGAATCGCAAATCGTGTCGCACGACACACAATTCGTTGATTTGTTTAATTTTAGTAAAATATTCTGCATGCAAAAAGGAAATAAACACACAAAAAAGGGAAACCAAAGGCGATGTTGCGCTTGTCGATCACAACCGATGAATGCATAGACATACAAATGTCGTCGATGTGATTGATTCGAATTGGCGGAATGAATTTCCGTGGAGAAAGCGAGTATTTTCTTGCCTCCACCTCTCCCCACTTCCGTGCCTCCACCCCCAAGATGCAAACAAAACAACATTAAGCAAAAGTTCTGGCCTTTTTGAATAGGTTTTCAACGAGAGAAAGAAGTGGCATTATATTTGGTTTTAGATCACTGCAGTGCGACACACATTTTTTTTTTACTTCTTTTTTCCAAATCGAACTCCGAAATAAATCAAACACAGATTCTTTCAAAACTTTTCATGAGCCCAAGAAGAGTTTCTTTGATATTTGACTTGATGGCGGTAATAGTGATTTGTGTGGCTGTGGGGAGGAGGTACGATACTCGCGTCTAGAGTAAGAAAAAAATGTGATGATTTCAAAGAGGAAATCAAACAATATGTTTTTGTTGCTGTTGCTTCTGATATTTACAGCCAGTATACGGCTTTTCGATGTGGCTTGTGTCCGGTAATGAAACGAAAAACCAAAAGCGAATGAGAATAAAAAACCCGTACTTAGAATAAATTTTTTCCGTCTTGCCATTCGAATGAAAAACGTTTGGTAATTATTCAGAGATCGTTGGTATGCAAATGCCTATTTGAGATATTTTGCATTTCTGTTATCCTATTGGTGAGGTTCTCATTGACAAAACACCTAACAACACACATCAAACACAAACTTTGTTTATTTTCAAATTATTCACATCAAATTCTGATCAAATGTGTGTGTGTGTGTTTTTTTCGCGGTTTTTCTCCCACTTTCTCTATGCATAAGCTGCTTTTTGGCCGCAATGCAAACAATTTTTTTCCATTTGTTCGGAACTTTTCAAGGCTTCAATAGAGATATATGTAATTATGGAGTGGCCATTTTAATTAATTGTGTCTACCGATTGTACGATTAAAATTTCAAAATGCAATACGAATTATCGTTCAAATGAAACAAACACACACAAAAAATAAACCTTATACACACGGCATATCATTTACATACATTTTTCTGTTCTGTTAATTATAATTTCCATTAATGTTTGCATCAATTTGCATTGCTTGATTCGAGATACGTGATCTATTTTGATTCATGGCTCAAATATGCGCTCACACACACACATCCACTCCAGCAATTGGAAAATAATTGAAATGCAACTCATTAATATTTTCGATTCGTACCGATTTATTGGTTTTTGAAAAAAAAAACTCAAATTTTGTGTTTTTGAAAAATGCTGGTAATTGCTTTGCAATGGACATATCGCTCATAAGTGATCCGAGATAAACAATTAATGAATATCTCATGAGTGAACAAGACAAAAGAGATGAGAAAAAAAAATCATAAAAATGCACAACAAATGTTTTGCATTAATGATGCACTTTTCATACTTTTGTGTGTGCGGTCGACCCAAAAATATGCAAATTCAATTTGTTTTTTCTCCTGTCAACAATAAATTCCATTTTAAATCATAAAAACGCACACAAACATTTTTATACATACACATAATATCTACAAATCAATTTGAGCTTGCAATCAAATCTATTGGAGACATTATGCTATTGCTGGTGCTTGCTCTGTCGCTGTTTTGTATTGTTTTGTTGTGTCAATGACAACCGTTTGCATCAGTAAAGTGTAAATCATTTTCGATTCGGTTTATTTATTTATTTTGGATAAAATGTGTGTGATTTTCAATGCGATATTGAACAATAAATGATTGGCCGATGCGAATATGAAAAAGTGTTTGTTTATGCACTTTGGATTTTGTGTCGGCCATTTTTCCGGTAAATCATTCATAGCTCTCAAGTTTTCATAGGCGCATAAAATGCAATCCAGCACATTTATAAATCGTGCCATAGGATTATCCGTTTGAATAAACATCCGACGAACAAATATTTGATTTTTTCATCGAAACTATTTCAACAGCAGCATGATTTACATGTTTCATTGCATGAAACACACACAGTCAATTTTAAGTTCAATTAAAGAGACGAGATAGAGGGCAAGAGAGTGAGAGCGGAAAAAGAAAATGAATCGACTAAGATAAAGGCATTAAACTTTCGGTTTTGTTATGCGCTCTGAATACAAGCTTGGATTTTGGGTTCGGTTTTGTTGTATGAGTGACAAAACTGACACAATCACCTCAACCAGATACTCTTTACTTTATTTTTATAATGCAAAAGTAATGCAGGCGTCTGATCTTGTCATTCCGAATGAAAATATATTTAGTATTTAAACGAATGGTAGAATTTCATTTATGTTGTCGTTATGTTTCTTCTCTGTTTTTGTGTCACATTGTCTCCTCATCTATCTATCTCTCTCGTTGAATGTGTCCCGAGTCACATTGTTTTATTTATTTTGCATACTGTCTGTCTATCTCAACCGTTTTTTTGTACCCAAAATGAAATAGGCATACTTTGCGAGTTTCAGACAGTTAATGAAAAATAAACATACCGAAAGATGATGAGGCACCGACAAACGTGATATATTTCAAAACGTTTGCAACCGTATAATTATTTGTACTGCAATTGCCCCATACAACTCAAAATGCGAAACAGTTATTTGCTGTTTGTTCTTTTCTAGCACCAAAGCGACTAGATAGCACTATTCGTGTGTGCATATACAAAAGCTACAGGCTGTTTTTCAGTTATCAATAATAAATCAATTTGCATAATTTTTCAGGCGCGTTTGTCATGGCCATCGTTATTCAATTTTCAATCCATTCATTATCATTTACTCGTCTCACTTTTTCGAATGTGCCAATTTTCTCAATTCAGCAAGAACCCCCCTCAAAAAAACGCCGTCATTTATTTAATGTTAAACTTATGAACTGATTTCAGATTGACGTCACGGGCCGGGGCCAGAATATACGCAAACAAATCATACATCACTGGAAAATTTGCTGTGTGAAAAGCTGACCGAAGAAGAAAAAAAACGTACTTATCATCAACGTTTTTCTTTTGTGCATGTCGATCACATTTTGTTTAATTCCATTTTCTGCTGATGTTTTCTTGTACGAAACAGAAATAACGAAACAAGGAACACATATGAAATATAAACAATAAAAGAGGCCAGGCTAGTTTTCTCAAGTCATTTGTAGAAAAATGTATTTGGTGTGTATGTTTTTTTTTGTTATGTGAGGGCACGTACATGAAATACGCAAACATTATCAAGTGTACAACCAATTCGGATTTTTCCTTAGCCAAATTCTCTATATAACCGAGAAAACGAAACAGGGCGAGTACATTCAAAGTGTGCAAGAGTGAGAGATACCAAGCAAACGGAACGGTTGTGTGAACGGGAGAATAATCATCACAGAAAAATTGAAAGAATGAGAAGGATGAACAAAACAAAAGAAAACAAGTAAACACAAGTGTACATGACCACCTATCAAGAACAACCAACGAACTAGACTTTCTCAGGCTAAGCGTAAAAGTGTACGGCAAACATAACGAAAAAGCGGCAAACAACGAGAAAAACTGCATTTTGAATTGTTATAAAAATAAATAAAAGGAAAAACCTTTAGATTTTCTTCGACACAGTCGTCTTCGTCGTCGTCGACGTCCTTTTCTTCACTTTCTTCATTTTCATCATTTCACTTGGCTTTTATAACTACTTGTGGACTATACCATGAATGTGCGATACGATCAAAACGAAAGAAAACAAACATAAAACGTGTAATAGAAAAATAATAAAGATCGTGATACAGTTGTATGAAGTTCTTTGTAATAGAAAATGAAATAGAGGGAGAAAAAAAATTGAAAGATGATTTGACGAAGTGCATTTGCGATTACTTTTAAAATAATCAAAACATATTGAAATAAGAAAGCAAAAAAAAACTGTACGAAAAGGACAAAACATAAAAACATTTGATTATAGTTGGTTCATATTTTTCAAGGCATATCATACAGCCAATCGAAATGAATGTTTGAACGTGAATTAATTTGCAATTTTCAAATTCATTTGCCATCGCAATTGTTAAAAATAAAATTGTGAAAAAACCAAGTATTTTATTTGCACGTGCATTATAAATAGATTTTCACCCTCAAGAAACGTGTGAAAAAAAAAAATTTGCCAAAGAAATCGATACATTTGAAGCGAAACAAAAACGGCCAGCAAACATTTTTACCAACGATTTGCCGAGTTAAGTAAAAATAACTTCACAAACGCAACCCGACGCGTCAGCCCCGGTTGGGCTACGCTTGGTCGGGCTCTTACCGTGTGCAGTGTGGTCACCGAAGATACCAAAGCCAACAATTGGCCAAATCCAACGTGTACAAGCTACACCGTATACCGTTACATCGAACGCATCATCAGCATCTACATCATCATCGTCATCGATTCGATCGGCTGCTGTTTTAAACGATCCATCAACATCCGCACATCCGATTGTAAATCGTTTATTGATAACCGGCCAACGAACTGAAACTACAGCCACAAATTCGTGCCGTTGTGCAACGCTGCCATCAAACGATCAATTAATTTCCGGTCAATTTTCATCAAATCAACAAACACCACCAACCGGAACGATAACAACTGCATCGATCAGTCAAACGTCAACAATTAATCAACAACGCGCAAACAATTTACGTCCGATCACATCGCATTCAAACTCAAATCCTATGCTTCTCGTACCGTTCGCTGCAATGCCACCGGGTTTTGTCCCGATTCAAGGTCAAATACCAGTTGTTGCTTCAGCAACGGTGCCGCCAACAACGACCACTTATCGTAAGTTAACGTCACTTTATTTTGCTTCTATTCTTTTCATTCATTCATTCGTTTTGGTTGAACAAAACAAAAAATAAAAAATAAACAAGAAAAAGATGGAAAATGTCTTTGTTTTTTGGATAATCAGAAAAACACATTGTCTGTGCACTGCACCCCATATTTTTCCACTTAATAATTCTTCATAATTTTATCAATTTCAGCGGCACAACCGCAATCGCATAATCTTGGCGGAACGTCACAAATTCTGCCACCAAATAATCCAACACAAAATGCCATTGCTGTTCACAATAATGCTGGTTCACCTGCTGTTTTTATCGCATCGGGATCATGCACGGAACAAAACACAAAGGTAAGGTGAAAATCGATTTTTTCTTCTATTTTCCGCATCCCATCCATTTCTGTTTTAAACAGCAGCAACAGCAACAACAACAACAACAACAACATCGTCACAATCTTCAATACACAACATTGTCAAGGAGCAATGTTTATTATGCGCTTTCTCTTGCAATTATTCAATTAAATTGTAAATGGAAAAAGCGTAATTTCATTGTCTTAGGCTCTTGCCATTGTCTGTAAGGTCTTGTGATACGCGATATAAACACACACGAAACGAAACGAAAAAAAAAACAATACTCGTGCGCACACACTGTTTTAATGAAAGGGCAGATCCGTAATATTAAATGTATTAACATGAAAATATTTTGTTAACTGGATGGCATTGTGTATTTAGCTTCAGTATTTAAATATTAAAGTCGATGAAATAATACTAGGCGGCTGGCTGGCATGAAGCCGATACAAAACGTTATTAATTATTCAGATGAAGAAAAGAATGAAAAAAAGCATGAATGTACAAAAAATAGGAAAGAGATGTAGATAGGTAGCAAAAACGCGAGCGTCATACTAATGGCATCAGTGTTGAATGTGCGAAAGCAATATGAATATCTGGTGAAAAAGTCTTCAGAAAGCACCCAGGCATAAGCATACGAACGCAACAACATTCATTTCTAACATACATTTTGGTCTCTAGTCTTTATCTTGTCGCTATTGCGGGTCCATTTTTTAAACATCATATCGAAACAAAAGACAGGTACACACGATACTCTGTTGTATGCGCTCGTGTGTATGTGTGCGTGCAGTTTTGCAATGATTTCTCAACTTTGCTACCAACTACTTGGTTCAATGCACGAATTCAACGATAATATTCTTATACTTTATTCATATTTTCCTGTGATACGACACGCCAAAAAAAAAAACGTCTACACACAGGCATGTGGATGTGGCACGAATCACAGCCGATCCAATGGCAAGTGTCAGGTTTTATTTTTGCTTTTCTTCGTTTTCAACGTCGATTCAAACGTAATTACACGTTTATAACCCTCTCTTTTTTCACCATTCTCTTTCTCTCGCAGCTTGAAAACACTGTCTCAACGGAGTCATTACTCAAAGTTGCGACAATATCAAATTTATTAAATCGTAATTTATTTTAAAATGTTTGCTATCACACCCTTTGGTCCTCTTAGACTCTCTCGGCCCCGTGTTGCCTGTCTCCGACAAGTTATTGTTTCTCATTCGTTTGATGACAACAAAATAGAGCGGCACGAAGAAAATCGAAACAGAACAAAACATTGAGATAACAAGAGAAAAAAAAGTGTTGTGCACGATGCCAATGTCTATGAAATATCTTTATTAATATTTCATTCCTAATTTTCCGTCTTTTAAACGATAGAATATTCTAGTTTCGTGAAAACGCAATTGGTTCGCTATGGGTAAACACTTCTAGCACTTGTCGCTTTTGCTTGTTTTCAAGGAAGTATTATACACACATATTTTTTTTCGATTTCCTCTCAGATGTGACAGTCACTGTGAGCTTGCATCTATGTAGAGCTGAATTTCGATGAATGTTTGTGTAGACAAACGAAGAGAAAGAAAATTAACTATTTTATTCGCGAATCGACAGACTTTTTCTTTACAATTTTGCCATAAAAATTGCCATTTGATTATGTCTTGAGAGGAATACGACAGATGCCAGATGCCAGATGTCAAATGCTAAAACGATGAATCAATCGAATATGGTGTTTGCTCGTTTTGTTCACAATTCAATTATTACCGCATGATGTTGGTTTTTTGCTGTATGGTTGATTGCTCGTTGATTTATTTAACAATTGTTGGCGATGGTGATGGCGTTTCCCGTAATTCCGGAAAATATTCATTGATTTCCATTGATTTGAATAAATTTCTACACACAATGAATGGAACCGTTGCCATTGAGTGATTACAATGTCAAATCCGTTCGCCACCCCATTCAATGATGAATGTCGCTTCAGTGCTATACATTTGAAATTAACATTCATTTCTTCGAAATATTTTCTCTGAATTAAACGTTTGCGTACACATCATTGATAAAATATTTAAATCGAGTTTGATATGTAATGCAGAATTCATCGTCTATTGCTCTCCTTTAGGAAAATAATACAACTTGGAAAAGATTTAAAAAGCGCATTGATTTGTATAAATTTATTACCTTTTAGTTTATGAAAGAAATATATCAGGTTAGTTATACCTTTCACCCTGTCGATCGTATGTATCACTGTAGATAGAAAAATATTATTTGGTGCGAAACATGAGAATTTTCATTCACATTCGTTCGAAAAAAATGACACTATTTCGTACACTCAATTATTTTTTATTTCATGATAAAAACTTTCGTTCAAATTTTTCACATAAACTCAAATTCAGTTATGCATAACTTCCATGGAAGGGGTGCATTCTAATCCGTGCATTTTCTTACGACGAATAGATTTAATTTTAACACAATTTCGAGCATTCTTCACCTTCGCAAATTCCACAAGATGTAATTAATGGAATTTCATAGAATTTTCGTGCATTTCGTGCTGCAAGAAAAAAATAAAAGAAATAATGACATTAATTCAACTGTTTTTTTTTTAAAGATGTAAACAATATCTCGAAACACGTACAGGTGTCATAATAATCATAGATTTTCACTGGCAC